TGGCTTGTTCAGCTTGGTAAAATGAAGACTGAGAAGAGATACAGTTGTTCTCTGTGTATGTATTAAGAATAAGCAGAAGCTAAAAGAGCTGTTTAAAGTTTCAAGTTGGTGTGAGAATGACCGGGCTTAAAGGAGCTGTGAGTAAATCTTTCCTAAACATGAGAAGAGGAGGGTGCCCAGCCCTCCCTTTTGTTTCAGTATGTGTGACTCCCGAGGGGTGCAGGCGGGACGGGGCGGTCTGCGGTGCTGCCGTGTCCTGGCGGATGGACCGAACGATGGGGACTGACCGAGGCAGGGCACTGGTGTCATGGGAGGTGCGCTGGGAGGCGAAACTGCGGCTCAGGGATGGCCATAAAACACCTAGTGTGCGTGGGCACCGTGCCGGGACCAGAGCAAGGGCTTGGGCAAGGCAGAATCATGAAAAATAAGCAGCTCTAGAGACAAGGCAGTGCAGGTTAAAGGTAGAGATAAATTAGCACCAATGGAGACTGGAAACTGACTGTTAGCAGTGAAGTAGCATTTCTTGCTGCTGCTGTGGTTTCTGTGCAGGTTTTCGGGGAGAAATGCTGCTGACTTGCAGAAATACGGAGGATGTAACAGAACTGAGAAACCTCCTGCTTAAAACTTGCCGTTTTTCTTGAATGCATTCCTCATTGACTTCACTCTCTGTGATTTAATCCTCCTGTATTTTAAGATATTGTAATATACTTGATAAGACTAATGTGCTCTGAAGCTGAGGCATTCCCTGATTGTAACTGATTACAGATGGGGAGCTTACCTTCCTCCTGGGTTGGTCTCTGAAACATTTTCTTAGTCTTAAAACATTCTACTTGGCTTCTCTTGAAGGCACAGAGGATGTTTTGTGCTTCCTTGTGGAGTCGTCAGTTAAAAAAGGACGGGTGGTTTGGGGCTGCTGCATTTGCATAATGCTGAAAGGTGGCTTTAACTGATGATAAATTTTGATCTAATAACTGTGACCAAACGATCACACTTCAGACCCACTGCCACCTCTCTGGGATGGACAGCCATAACAGTGCATCTGCTTGCAGAGTGACTCTCCTCCTGCCGTTTCTTTCTGCACTGAAAAGAGAAAACATCTACTAATCAGAGAGAGACCCAAAGCAAAGGAAATCCCAGCCTGATCCCCAAACAGCGAGGAGGGCTCTGGAGTCTCCTGCAATGTTCCTGGTGGAGCTCCCAGGAGTTCATTACTCCAGCCGTGGGCTCAGACAAGCAGCCCATTTGTTTGCACAAGTGGAAGCAAATGGTTGGACTTAATGATCTTAAGGGTCTTTCCCAACCTAAATGATTCTATGATTCTGAGCTGTATCAGCTGCCTGTTCGATGAGCGGGGAGAGGGCAGAGCCAGTCTGCCAGGTTGCAGGAGCAGTGGTGGTAGTGACATGCAGGGACAAGAAGGTGGAGGTGGCAGTGAATGCTCCGAGCTGCTCTGTTGCTGTCTGGAGGTGCAGATTCATGAGAGAAGAGCTGGAGTCTTCTGCTTGTGATGCTGAGGTGTAGCTTCAGGACTCGGGGCAGGAGCTTTATCAATGTGAATAATGCGGCATACAGGAGTAGGAAATGAGGCAGTAATGGGTTGGTGTGCACGGGAAGAGAGGGCCAAAGCAGCCAGAAGGGACAGTGAGCATCTTGCCGGCACAGCCAAAGCGTATCCAGCATCCGAGATCAGGAGATCAGGAATAAACCACCAGCACTGCAGCCACTTCATGTAATCCTTCTGCAGGTGTGGATCCTGCTCACAACGTTCTGCTTAAAATGTCAAAATGAGCACTCTGACAGCACAGCCCTGTCCGTGGGAATGCGGGTGGCTGAAGCATTGCCTCTTTCTTACCATCCTGCTGCAGCTCAGGACACTGCGTCAGCTGAAAGACTTCCAGGACAACTTGCCCATGAGCTTGGTTACACAGAGCGCTTCAGCTTACCCAGGGAAGGGTAGCAAAAGAGAACTTCCCCTTACAACAGCCGTAACATGGTCCTGGCCCCAAAGCAAACTGAGCCTGCCAGGGCTTGGCTTTTCATAAGACCCTGCAGCTGGCTCACAGAGCCCTGCTGCCTGCCAGGCCCTGCTGGCAGTGTGTGCTACCCAGGGTGCTATTTAGGGTGTATACACCCTAAAACCTGCTGAGTTTTAGGGTGTATTTTGTTGCCGTTCACCTGTCAGGGCAATGGGAGTGAGGTGCCTGCCTCTCTCTGGCAGTTTTGAGAAATCTGCTCCGGCCCTTCTCCCCGCTGCTGCCGCTGGGGCTGGAATGCAGCTTCCTTTGCCTGATGAGCTCTGTCTGTCAGTGGGGTGAGTCCCTCTCCTGTAATCAGTAACTCGAGCTGGTGTTGAAGACATGCCTCATCCCTCCTGCCCGTGGTGCTGTCAGGCGCGGGGGGAGCAGCACCACACCAAGCGAGCGCTCTGCTAGTGCTTTTTGTGGGGGACGAAGGCCCGTCCTCACCAGGGAATCCTCTTCCTCTGTGGTCTTACATTCAACCGCAAAACACTTGAGAACACTGCCGCGGACAGCACTGAGGTCCGTGGATCAAATGGGAGGCTGAATTCCCTTACATATGTGGCTTTCTGCTTGGAAAGAGGAGTTTGTGGCAGTGCCCAGGGTATAGAGCAGCCTGGATGCTGAACAGCCAGAAGTTTATAGGTCTTGCCAGCAGCCTTGCAGTCAGTGCTGGAGCCAGACCTAGCCGTAATGTGAGAGACTGCAATTTTATTGCCTAAAATTTTATTATCCACCTCCTGTACTTAAATTCCTGCTCCACTTGTACCTTTCATGAAGCAGATTTCCCCTTGCCTTCTCTTAAGGCTCTTGGACGTGGCCTGCAGTGAGGTTTTAGGTGGTTTGAGTTTGCCTAGAAGCGGCTGCTTCCCCAGTTACTGTCCGTACCAGGGGACGCAAGCAGGTTGTACTGGGTGAAACCAGTTGGCTTCTTATACCATTTGATGAGGCTGAAAGACGTGAAGGAGGGATCAGCTTGTGCTACGATGTGTCAGGCACATCAGGCTCCCTGATGCTCCAGATAGGCTTTGAACAACAAGCCCAGCCAGATGTAAGTGAATCCATCGAGACCTGTGTTCCCAGCGTGGCCTCTGTGCCAGCAGACAGCTGCTCGCTGCCTGTTGGCAGGAGCGCGCACGCACGCTTGGCTGCCTCTGCCGGTGCCGTGCGTTCCTAGCAAGGGGCTGTGTTGTCAGAAGAGACGCTGCTGCGTGGCGGGGGCCAAGCCTGGGACCCCCTGCTGACATGCCACATGTGGGACTGTTTCCAGTACATTGAGGGATCCTGGCTCCAGTTGACAGGCACACGCAGCCCTGCTCTCCCAGCTCTGCTCTGCACCACCATAGCTCCCACTGCCGCTTTCTGAAATTCATCCTTTTTTCCTTTTACGAGCCAGCTTTCTTCCCAGTGCCAGTTTTCGGTTTCTGCTTTTATACTAGCAGAAGCCAAGCACTGAGTTGGTTCTGGGCAGAGTCTTTTCAGTTTAGAGACAGGGTCTTCTGCATTTTCAGAGTCCCAAAGAGCACCAGCACAGTTTATCACGTGTGGCCCTGTTGTTCTTGGTGCTGGTGCACCCTTTGCAGCATTCAGGTAACAGTGTCACTGGAAGCAGAGGAAGTCAAAGACTTCTTTTGAACACAGGTTACAAGACAAGACCTGCCTGAACTTTCCTTAGCAGCTTTAGCTGTCATCATTCCTGTGCACTGAGGGTATGGAAGTGGCTTGTCAATGCACAGTAGCAGCAAGAGAGGTATTTCCAAAACGTGCTGGAGATTTAGAGAGGGACTTCCAGTCCCTTGGACCTCTTGGCAGCAGGCTCCACGCCATGACTGGGGCTGTCTGTGCCACACAGTCAGCAGTCGCGACTGAGAGCTGGTTGTCATGGACAGGACAGGACACCCACAGATGACAGGAGAGCCATGTGCACGTTGTGTGTGATGGATGCCACCAGTGCTTCGCAGGCAGGTGCCCACAGTTTTGCAGTGAGTAAACTGGGTTTAGATACCTACGACAAATTGCCCTCAGAGGGCTCATTGGGCTAGCACTTTGTTGGTTGAGGTCATTTCAGGAGGGCTCCTGTAGAGTGATTTTATCATGGTCCAGATGATATTTAGAGCTTGGATGACCTGCTGGCGAGAGCACTGTGCTGGAGACCTGGATTCATTTACCGGGATTCTTGTCCTATTGGGAGATTTTGGGGAAAGTTGCTTTTCCCTGCTCTGCCTTGGTCTCCCCAGGGGACAAACCACTTACTGCTTTCATTAAGTGCTTTAATAGTACCAGCACAGGGGGGTGATGGCAGATGCTCTGATCGCGACTAAAGCCTGCTGCAGGAAACACATCTGGGTGGGCTGACACCAGCTATAGCAGTCATTGCTCTGAAGTGCCTGGCTAGGAGACGTGACCATTTCACCCTTCACATTGTATTAGCGTAAACTTTAGCGTGTGATTTCCTCTTGATAAGGCTAGCAGAGGCAAGAGCCGGCCTTGATGGGGCTTGTCCTGGGGCTTTTCAGCTGCATGCACCCCCATGCATTCTCCAGAGACCTCCCTTGGCAGGGAGCTGTATGTGGGTACGACATGTCCTGCCACTGTGTCCTCTGCCAGCTCTGTTCCCTGGCACGCATCACCATTAATGATGTGCTGTTGGACTCGCATGTGCTGTGGCTTGGGAGGGCACTGTAACCAGCTATGTCTGCCCAAGGCACCTGGGTTGCCCAGATCTCACCCTGCCAAAAAAACTTCACCCAGCCCATGGGGAGACCCCCTACGTCAGGTACACGGGTCTGACCCTGCTGGCTGTATCAGCTTTAGATAAGAAAAGGCCCTTGGTCTGCAAGGGCTTTTCTGGTCTGCAGTAGGGTCTGTCTCCTCGGCAGAAGCCGCTGCCCTGCCCCAGCTGGGGTCTCCCATAACGTGGGGAATGGGAGCATGCTTGGCCAGGATAGCTGCTGACCTCCTGTCTTTCCCATTTCCTTCCAGTCCTGGACGCACAATATCCAGCGGGAGAAGGAGTTCCTGCGGAAGCTGGTGAAAGCCCGAGTCATCACTGACCTAACCAGTGGTATTTGAGTGGCTGGAGCCACTGCCTCCAAGGGAGGAGACAAAGACGCATGCTGCAGCTCTGGGAGCAGGCACTGGCAGCCCCCTCGCAAGAATCCCACCTCACTGAAGACACACAGAGATGCCCAGGTGCTCTGGGAAGACCCTCTCACATTGCCAGTCTGCACGAGGGTTGCATCTGCTGCCTCCAGGCCTAGAGCTGGCAGGAGGTGGGCAAGGGGCTGAGCGGGCAGTTCTTGAACTCTGCATCGCAGACGGATCTTCTGTATCCTGAATTAAACAGGAAAGACTCAGGAGAGAGAAGAAAGGTTTGTGAATAAAACGGTTTGTGCCAAATGGGAGGTGACGCTGCCCCAAGGCAGCAATGCCTGAATGTACAAAGTATTATTTTTTAAAAGAAACTCTGCTGGAATCATACTAGAAATACCAAGGTGCAAGGCAAAGTCTGCTTGTGCACAGCCCTGCGAAAAGCCTGGCCTCTCCATGCTCCATCTGCATTGTCACCGGCCTCAGACCTTTCCCCAGGAAAACAAATCCGTCCAAAACTTCGGTGTCCTTGGTGCTGCTATAATTTGAAGGGAGAATAATGGCTTTCCCTCATTCTCCACTTGGAGCTTCTGGATGGAGATGAGCATGGGTTTGTTTTTCTGCACTTTTCCTTGCTTCCTGCATAGAGGCAGCAGCAGCAGCCACTTACTTGGCTGCGTTTTCCATAACCATTTGCCCTGCTCTGCCTCTGCCCTGACCCCAAGGTGGAGCGGGGAGCTGATGGCTTTCTCTGCCTGCAGCAGACCCTCCCCACCTTCCTGCCTGTCCCGGCACTGAGGAACCTGCCTCGTTGTGCTCAAGGCTTTCAGGCCTCTTGATTTGTGCCTGCTGTGCAGGGCCGCCATGGAGTCTGTGCAGATTGGTGTCACCGGTTCTGGACAGCATCTCACTTTATTTTTGTGTGGGAGAGGAGTAATTTATTCTTTGGAAGGAGGTCAGATCTTGCACAGAGATCTGAAGCTTTACAGTTTGAGAGCAGGCCGACGAAGATGTTTGTTTTCCGTTCCAGACTCAATCATGTTCCCTATTTAAGTGATGTGTGACCTCAGTGATGATGGAGCCTGCTGGCACGGGTAGGGGCCTGCTGGGAACCCTCACTCTCTGCTCGGCTCCTGCTCACTTCATTTCCAGGCTCCTCCCGTGCTGCTCTAGCACTGCTGCTCCTCCTGCTCTCAGGAGCACATCCCTTCCTTTGCTGTCTTGGTCCCGAGATGCAGTATTTGCACATTTGATTTGTATACGTATTTCAGAGGAGCTGGAATAAACTGAGCAACATGGCCGAGTGAGAGGACAGCGAGGTGGTCTCATCCACCTGGAGAGCATGGGCAGAAGGGAGATTGCCAGGGGAATGGGTACAGGTGGAAATCAGCTCCCGGGCTCTCCTAGCCTGGAGCAGGCTGGACTGCAGCCATGGGCGCTGTCCCGAGCCGAGTCCCTGTGTGTCAAGGCACTGGCGTGCAGCCAGCCAGTGCTGGGGTCAGTGGAGGGGGGATCCTGGAGGAGTGCTGGCTGGGCTTATGGTCCTGGCGCTGCATCTGAGGTAGCCCAAGGATTGCAGTCGGCCTTGCTCTGAGCTGAAGGGAGAACATGGCCCTGACATGGACAAGGGATGCTCAGAGCAGGGCTCTAATGGTTCCCCTGGGCCGCCTCTGCTCCTGCTGACTTGCAGGGGGCTGTGGCTCTGGGGCCGAGACCCCAGAGGGGACGTGCAGGAGAGGCAGGCAATGACCTAGGCGTGGGGCAGAGGAGCAAACTGTATGGAATGGTTTGAGAGCAGGCTGCAGACAGAGGCGGCTCTCAGGACATGGTGCTGGGTGCTGCCCACAGACCGGCATGGGATGTGCCCCTCAGGAGCCTCTCCTGCGTGGTGTGCCCATAGCCAAGGAGCTTGCTCAGGGGCAAGTCCTGTCCAGCTTCTGGTCGTGGCTGCTGCTTGCCTTGTAGTCTGGGAGCAGCTCAAAGATCCTGCCTCTTCCAGGCCACAGAAGTCAGGTGGTGGGAGGCTGTCCCTTCCTGTTCCCCTCCCCATGTCCCTTCCCCTGTCCCGCTGGCCTCACAGCCAGGCGGTCCCTGCTCCCCCCAGTACATGCCTCCCCCCAGGATGCTCTGTGAGGTTTCCAGCATGGAGAAATGGGGTTTCCAGCAGGTTTTCGAGCATATGCTGTGGCAGATACTCCTTTGAATATTCTCCCCCAACTTGTTTTTCCTGCTCAAGGAGCCCAAGGGACTGGATTTCCATGGCTCTCACCAGGTGACACTCCCTTTGCAGTTCCTGGGTGTCAGCCTGGACCTGGGACCATTGTCTGTAGAGTCCCTGCCATGGTGGCGGTGGGGGTGCCTGGGCTGGACCTGGCCAAGGTTGCGGCTGAGGAAGGGTGGGCAGCTGCCCTCCGCCTTGGTGCTGGAACCGGGTCTTTAACCAGCTGCTGTGGGAGCCCTGGGGCAGTGACGGGGTGATGGGCCACATCCGCATGCCACAGTGAACTGAGATGCCAGAGAGCTCGTGGCTGCAGCCAGGAGGAGGAGGGGGGGGGTAAAGAGCCTTTGGTGTCCATGCTGGGCTCCTCTCCACCCCCTGGGGGGAGCACCCCCATGGAGGCTTGTGATAACACTAATTTGATTTAGCCCGTTTCATTGAGCACTACAAAGCTACGGGGCACCTTTATCTTCCAGCTCACTGGCTCCAGGTCCAAGGAGAGAGCACGGCCCCTGCTCTGCTTTCCCTGGTGTCCCAGCTCCCCACCACGGCCAGGGAGAGGTCCTGATGGGAAGCTGTCCCTGCAGACTAGGGAGGTGACTCCAAGCCCTTCCCTCCACCTTGGTGGGGGTCTCCAGGCAGAAGTGCCCTGGCTGAATAGGTGAGCGCGTGGCCCAGGGTGACTGTGGTGGGTCAGGACCACCTGCGAGTAGGAGAGAGGATGAGAGGTTGTTTGGGGGCCAAAGGCTGCCCTCTAACTCACTGTCCCCTTTGACATTGGTGGGGCAAGCACACCCATGGAGCATCCCTATGGCCGGGCGATGGGGGTGTGCACCCCAGCCCCGAAAGCAGTGCGCAGCGCTGGGTTTCACTCCTGGGTGCTGTTCCTTTGGCTGCCTCCCCACGTGCACCTGCAGCCACCTCCCGCCCTCCGAAACGCTGCAGTCCTGCCAGCTCCGAGCGGTGCACGCGGGTCAGAGCAGGGTCAGTGGGACGGATGCGAGTCTTGGCCTCTCCCTCGCAGTGACTCACCTTTTCAGCCCAGGGGAATTCTCCACAGCCTAAATATAGAGCGGGGTTGCCTGGCGCCTCTGACGCGCTGCGGTGCAGAAAGGCCACTTGGGTGGCAGGGAACGTGCCTAGAGAGAGGCTGGGGAAGTGCAGAGAGGTCGGGGAGCCAACTCCCACAGCAGGGTTTTGCTCCGGCTGGTGCAGAGAGCAGGTCTGGGGAGCTGCAGGCCAGCCATGTGCTGCTCCAGGGGAGAGGGGCTGCCAGAGAGCTGCTGCTGCGCTGACCGCACCGTGAGCACGGGCTGCTCATGCATTTGTGGTGTACAGCCCTCCCCAGCGCCCACCACCCTGGCATCGGGCTCCCTCCACCAGCTCACCCCATTAGAGCTGGCTGTGCGGCAGCCTGAAGCTCACGTGCCAAATGGAGGCACCACGGCCGGGGCGCACGAGACAGGAGCGGGATCCTCTGTGGGCCAGCATCCCTCAGCCCTGGGCTTCCAGCATCTCCTTTCCCTGGGAGAGAGCGGCGGGAAGGCCCTGCCCTGCCGTGCTGCTTTACCCCTCAGTGTGGGCGCTGCTGGGAGAGAGGGAAGGTGTCAGGACAGGGCTATCTGTCTGTGTCAAACAGGGGCAGGCAGGCTGGGTACAGGGAGCACCAGGGGACAGGCAAGGGCTTCCAGGCTGCCTGACAGGGAGGCGGCCACCATGCTGAGCTCCACCGGCCCCAGCACGGCACGTGCCATCGGCCCAAGCGTGCGTCACACGCAGTATTAAGAGACGTGTCCTTCGGTGTGGATGACCCAGCCCCTCCGGGCACTGGCTCCTTGCACAGCCTGCACAGGGACTGTCTCCAAAGGCCAGTGCGCTCGCCAGTACTGTACCAAGCTGAGATGTAAGAACTCAATGAGTTTTTAAAATTAGTTTTAGTTTCTGCGATTTTTTTTAATTTCCCCTCTAGGCAGGGAGGGCAAGAGTCTTGCAGGCTCCTCCAAGCCGGCTTATGTCACATCAATTCAGTCATATCACAGAAGCAATAAAGCTATCAAACGAGCTTGGCTGGCCTCTTTCTTCTGCTGCCTTTGGCCTTCTCTAGGGGAGGCAGAGGGATTCCCCTGCTCGGGCTGTCCCCAGCCTGGTTTCACCGCTGACTCCTCCAGCACAGTAGCCCAGAGGCAGCTGCCAGGAGCTGCAGCTGGCCGATGCCACCGGCCTGGCGCTGGGGACAGCAGAGGGCTGCGCTCCTCCTCACTGGTGACCTGAGGGGTGGGAGAAGGGCTCGCAGGTTGGGTGCATGTCATGTCAGGGAGCAGACGGGCTGCCTGCGAGTCTGCCTGCTCTCTCGAGGACTCCCTGCCAGCGGGGTGGCTTCCCACCAAGGGTCACAGCAGCGATAGGGCTGGGTGCGGCCCTGACAAAGGCAGGTGTCCAGCCAAGTGACTTTCTCACCCCAGTGTCCAGGAAGGAAGCGGTTTAGGAAGCCGGGGGCCGAGGCTGTGACCGGCTCCGACACCCGCCAGGTCCCAGCGCAAGGAGCGTAACCGGCGACGCCACGGAGCTTCCGGAGCCGCAGGAGGAGTCGGGGACAGTCCCATTGCCCCAGGGGAATGGGGTGGCCGCTTCCAGGTGGGTGACCTGTCTGCCAGACCTGCCAGCTCCTGAACATGAGGGGTAGCTTCCTGCCAGCACCGATGGGAGCCCGCAGAGGCAACTGCCCTTCGTGCGGCAGGGCAACTCCCTGGTGTGGGGCTGCAAGTTCCAGGTCCCGCCCAGAAAGGAGATACAGGAGCTGCTCAGTCCCTCCTTCCCGCCCTCCTCTCTTCCCAGCCCTTAAATAGCAGGGCCACCGCTGCCATCGGGCTGTGCCAGCCCCAGGGGTGGCCTGTGCCCGGTGCCCCGTCCTGGCCTTGGGAGGGCTGCGGAGGGGGAGAGTGCAGAGCCTGGGACCGGGGCACATGTGGACAGCCTGTGGGAGGTTCAGGTCAGCAGAGACAAGGACACTTGTTCTGGAGCAGGTGTCCCCAAAGGAGCCACCCATATCACTGCTGAGATGGGGACGATGCAACCAGTAGGTCCATCTGCGTCACAGCTCTCTCCCACACATGTTTTGTCACACCCAGCCATGGCCTCGCACAGGCACGGCAGCAGCCTCAGCGTGCTCAGTCCTGCCGTCTGGCTGGACGGCATCACCCCCATCCCGCCTCACGCAAGGGTGGCACCCTCAAGGACAGATGTCACAGCGGGCCCTGGCCCCGCAGGGCTCATTCCAGACCAGACAAAGGACACGGGGACGCCCCAGCCCTGGGGGTGCAGGAGCACAAGCTGACGCAGGAGGTGCCTTGGGAGGCACCAAGCCAGGTGCTGCCAGCAGCAGCCAGGGAGCACGTCACCCATCTGTCAGAGACCTGTGGTGCCGGGGACCCTACCCTGCACCCCAGCACCCTGTGGGGCCTGGCCCACACTCAGCACTCCCCAGGGCAGGGCCGATACTCGTGGGAGCCCAAGGGAAGAGAGCAGAGCCCGGATTCAGGCACAACGCTGGGACATGCCACCTCCTGACACTGCGATCTCGGGGGGACAGGCAGGAGGTGCCGCTGGCAGGACATCAGTGGGGCTGATGACAGCAGCAGCGAGGTCACATCTCCCAGGACAAGGGGCAGGGGCAGAGTAGGGAGCCAGAGCCCCCAGGTGTCTGGGGTAGCAGCCACCAAGGGGACACACCTGGAAGGGGACGGGGGCCAGGCTTTGCACAGCTTTGCACAGCCACCCCTTTCACAAGAGCGGGGACACCGTGGACCCACCTGTATGGGGTCCCTTGGATATCCCCCTGTGCCACGCCCCATGCAGCCCCCTGCCCACCACCAGCATCACACCCACAGTAGCTCCCGGCTGTGCCCTGAGGACCAGCCCAGCCTCAGGGGACAGGGTAACCTGTGGGGTGAGCCAGCACCCGGGGCCATCGCCAAGCCCCGAGGGCTGTCCGTGGGGAGGCAGCCCTCCCCTCCGTTGGCAGCCCCTCCTGGGCAGCTCGCCCACCACGGGCAGGGCTGTGGCCAGTCCCAGCCCCATGGGGACAGCCAGGCAACCCAGAGCAGGACGTGCCTCGCACGGAAACTTTCCAAGCAGGCAGCCCCGTTAGTCTGCAGCCCTGC